TTGAAAAAACCTGAATTCCTTGTTTCTTAAGCCGCGTTTAAATGTCCTTGTGTTCCCAGAGACAGACTTTCAGTTTGCCTGCAGAACATTCCTTTGAGTTAGAGCAGTGATATTACCTCCGTTGTATTTATCAGGCTTAGGATTTTGTGGAATAACAAAAGGTAAGCAGCTCACTGACCTGCATGAGGATGAATGGAAATTAAATTCCATGCCTGAGTGTCAGTGTTTTCAAACTGGTTGGCAGTGCATCACCATTTCGCTAATTATCATACAAGAGCCTCAGTGAATAAAACAGACCAAAGCAGAATTTTACTGAAAGGTTTCGTACTTGAAATTTGTAATATTTATTAGAACAAAGAGAACAATGAGGCTATTTTCATGAACCCCCAAATTTTAAATTGCAGGTTCTTACAAAGTTGTAGCATTAAATTTATTTGAATGTTTTGTTTTGATAGTATAATATCAATAAAGTCTGGTTTGAACATAGGTAAAGACGCTTTTTAAATAATTCTGCTGTATCCAAATATTTTTTAAATGATCCAAAACTAGAAGGAGGACTAGTACAGCTTTGATTTCAAAGTGAATCACTGGGGCGCCTGGGTGGCTCAGTCCATTAAGCAACTGCCTTCGGCTCAGGTCATGATCTCGGGGTCCTGAGATCGAGCCCCGCGTCGGGCTCCCTGCTCGGCGGGGAAGCTGCTTCTCTCTCTCCTTCCTCTTCTGCCCCCCGCCCCCCCAGCTTGTGCTCTTCCTCTCTTGCTATCTCAAATAAATAAAATCTTTTAAAAACAAAAAATAGTGGATCACTAACAGTGCCCGACGACTGCTTGCATTACTTGTCGTGGACCAGTCATGTGAGAGACACCCAAACTTTTTTTAAGTTCCTAGACTAGAACATCATCATACATTAAGTGTTTTTTAATTCTGTGCTGAGCATGAGACCGGAGCCAGCGCCTGTCCCCTCCCATGACCGTAGGGGTGACGCCGGGTTCTGAGAGGCCCTGCCTGTGGTGACCAGGGTGCTTTTCAGCCAGCCAGCCTCACCTCTGACCGCCGGGCGAGCCAATTTGGAATGATACTCTTGAGTTTGTGTGTAGCATTTTATTTTATTTTTAAAGGAAAATGGGGGGGCGCCTGGGTGGTACAGTCGATTAAGCTTCTGACTTGGTTTTGGCTCAGGTCCTGATCTCAGGGTGGTGAGACTGAGTCCCACACTGGGCACCATGGTCAGCACGGAGTCTGCTTAAGATTCTCTCCCCCTTTCCCCCAACTTTCCACCACCTGTGCACGCATGCGTGTTCTCTCTCAAAAAAAGAAAATGTTATAAGAAACATATTCACATTAAGCCCTGCAGTACTGGAAGACACTTGTAAAACACTGGTTTGTAGAAGGTTGCTCATTTTATAAACAGAGCCCAAATTGTTAAATTGGTATTCTGAGATGAAAGCTGAGTGGACACAAGGGGAGCAAACTCATGTGAAGGAACGTTTAGTGTAAAAAGTCAGAGGCTGTCTCAAGTTAGTCGTAAGATATAAATGTGGCAATACTTTTGGGTTTTTTTTTTAAAAATCCTCATTCTTTACCTCTTCATCCCTTTCAGGTCCGCTTTGCTGCTCTGATTACCGTGTTAGCCCTGGCTGAGAAACTAAAGGAGAATTATATTGTCTTGCTGCCAGAGTCCATTCCTTTCTTAGCTGAATTGATGGAAGGTAATTCCTAAAGTACTAAGAATTTCAGTAAAATTCTGTGAAAATGTGCCCAGTGGTAATGGAAATGTGGCTAGAATGTGATGAGCCCTTGGCTCCCATCCTCCGCCTGCACCGCATCTCCTGCTGCAGACACAGGAGGCCGAGTTCCTGTTTTGAGTAGGGTGGGGAGTGCACAGGGGGGCTGCCCCAGGATCATAAGAAACTTGCTCACAGTGTAATCTTCACTACCTTTACTTTTGTGTTTATGATGGTAAAAACATACTACAGTATGGTGTTTCATCAACCTTGGACATTTAGATCATTGACTATTTTGGTCCCCAGACATAGGGTTACTGTAGCAGAGTGTCTAGTGCCATTAAGGTTGCCGTAGGTTAGCTGCCTGTAAATAATGACCAACATTTACTCCGTGCTCTGCATGGAGGATCTCACTTAATCCTCACGACGGGCTGTATGCCATTATCCCTGTTTTCATAAAGGAAGAAACTAGAGGCTTGACGAGGATCAGTTCGATAACGTGAGTGTGATAGGTAGAAGTGGGGTTTGAATCCAGCTCTGAGCAGTTGTGGACGTACTGCACACGTGCCACCACGCAGGCCAAGGGAGAACGGTTCAAGTCTTACTAGGGTGGACAGAGCCAAGTAGACAAATGGCTTTTTCATATTAATGGTTCACTACTTTTCTAAAAGTACATTCACCTCTTGTTTCTTATGTCCTGAACAAGGGGCATCACTAGGAATTCAGAATTTTCACTACTGCACCACTATTTTGGGGGCTCTATCTTACTCAGCTTCCAGGTCTGGGACCAAGAAGGGGGAGGTATGCCGAGGAGGAGGGGAGGGGATGCTCTCTGCTGCACTGATGCTTCATTTCCCTCTTTTGACTGAACAATGGCCAGAGAATGCAAGACCTGAAGTATTAGACGAATGATAATTGAAGCAGGAGATTGGTTCAATTTTTATTTTTGTTTTTTAGATGAATGTGAAGAAGTGGAACATCAGTGTCAAAAGACTATTCAGCAACTGGAAGCTATACTGGGAGAGCCGCTCCAGAGCTACTTCTAAAACTTTGGGGTTTTGGTGTTTCTTACTCTGTTCAGAGGTCAGATTTATTTTTCATATTTTTATTTTTGGGTGTTTGGTACCATATTACTTTTGGTACCCTGACACCTATGCGGACTCCTTACAAAATTCCCCCCTGGTTTGTGCTCCCATAGAAACCTCTCCGGCCACCTGTACAGAATTGCAGCAAGAGTAAATGATACCTGGGATTTGTATACAGACTGCTGTGTTTGTTTAAACATTTGCTGAAGTCTTTTCTGATTGAGGTTATTGATATTACGGGCGTATTTAATTTGGGCACTCAAAGGTGAAAGTACCTCATTTAGACTGTAAAACCTTAACTCTCTTCCAGAAAGGGATGTCTTACGTACATGGTATCCATGTCAGAGATTTCACTCAAGGTAGCTCTTCAAGAAAAGGACATTACTCAGCAGCAGCGCTTTGGACTATAAAGCTATTTGGAATACTTTTCATTTTGGGTAGATGACACTTCAGCCTTAATTTTTGTGTGTGTGGCCACAGAGGGAATTGGTTCTGGAATGCATTTCCCATTTAGGACTACGATTGTCTTCTTTACCCTTCAGTCTTTCTTTGGGGGGCCAAGGCAGTGGGCTGTGTAGGCAGATGCCACAAATAGAAAAGGCCCAGAAACACTAGGTGGCATGGCTCCTCCAGGATTAGAAGTGATCACATTTCCACTGATGGTAATCCAAGAATTACTTGTATGAGAAAGTATCAGATTTGTTTCAAAGCTTTGAAGTTTTCTAATCTCTGATGTCACGTGAAGTAAAGGCTTTAAAAATATTAAAATCTGCCTTTAAGGCATTTTATTTACTTATGCCTTTAAAAAAATTTTAAAGCATCTAAGAACTGCACATAGAATGTTTAGTTTGAAAGCCTTTGTTCTAATTTAATATAGAAATTTAGTGCAGAATTGTGATGAAGCAAAAGGCTAAATTGCAGCTTTGGAGATACCACTTGCTAGGAATGTGTGCTCCCATCTAAGAAATCTCTTGATAAGATTAATTAGTAAATGTTAACAGCTTCTTCTTAAAACACATTAATATTTTGGTTTTTTTTTTCTGTCAGAATCTCATGTCTTTTTTAGTAATACTTGATGTTTACGCTTTTGTTACACATGAAGGTATGTTTTAGGTATTAGAGGAAACAGTGTACGTGGGCTTTTATTTTTCTGAGTAAGCCCTCTGATGTTCTTTAGAAAGGGGGAAAAAAAAAACCCTGGGGATTCCTTCTACAACTTTCCCAGTGAAAGTCAGGACCCCCCCCCACCTCCCATGAGCTTGGCAAGATGCAACATAATAAGTTAACATGAATAGAAAAGAATTAATTAAGTGCCAGAAGCTTCTACACTGAGTACTTCTAAAAAATCAGATTGCTAGTCTTATTATTTGTACCCATATACCAAAAAGACTATCTAACCAAAAATCCGTAATGAAAATATTTGTAAATGCTGGCAGCATATTCAGCCCAGAAGTTTAACAGATAAAAATGATCAAACTGATTCAGCTTTTTTTTTTTTTACCTCCCCACTCCCAAGCCTTGGAAATTTCTTGTAACAAGATCTGACCTGTAAGAATTGTACAAAGAACTTCTGCCAACTCGCTTCAAAGAATAATAGAAAAAATTACAGAAATGCAACAATTTAACCTGCTGATACAGGTTTGATTTTAATCACTTAAAGTAGAACAGTGTTTTGATCTCCGTCGCCGATGATGAGGGACTAATCTTTAGAAGAGAAGAGAGGCAAGGTTTGTTTGGATGAGGCCAAGGAACAGGCTGTTACACCACTTCTCTCTGCTCCATTGGTCTCAGTGTATTTTACCCTCTGATTGATAGTGCCTATTTTATGAACAGTCATGAAACCTCATCTTGACATTGTTTCGTTGGAAGTCCTCTACCTTAAACTTTCTATTGGAGTATGTGTAGACTTCGGACTCACCCTGAATTCAGGTACTCTAAGCATTTACTGGTACAGACATCAGGGGCCTGACATCAAGTTAATTTTAATACCATTGGTTTTGTTTTGCTGTGTTTGTTTTTTGCCTTAATCTTTGTGCTGTGTTCAGATTTCGTAGTGTTAATTACTTGGAAATGCTTACAGCTAGTACAGCTGGGTATTTATCGTGCTAAAGGAAACTGCCAGATGTAAGGCAACATCAGTCCTTTCCATTATGGGATATGATTGAACTTTGGGTATGAAAGTGATCGATGGAGCAGTGTTTTGTAAATTAGTTTATGGAGGTGACTTCACAGCTGAGTAATTATCTCTGGTTACTTTATGTGATTAATGCCTGTAGAAAAATCAGTGGCATGCTATCAGAGCACAGAAGATTCTGAGCTCAAGAGAACAGGGAACAGAGTGGCACTGTGCTCCACTGTATACTTCTATCCACAGCTCCTAGCACAGGGCTGACAGAGAATAAGTGCTCCATGTACGTTAGCTTCGGTATCAACCGATACTTGTTGAATGTGAAGCAGAGGCCAGAGTGGGAGAGAGAACAGAAAGGCCTGAATAATGACTTTAAGTTACCTGTTGCCTCAAATGTCCTTATTCTGTGCTAGACAAAGCCACAATGCGTGGCAAGGACTGAGAACACCTAGGAGGACTTCATGTTATGCAAGCTCATTTTAACAATATATATACACAAATATAATAGATGCATTTTAACAAGGCCAGGGTTACATAAGCCATTTTGTATTTCAGTTTTTGTAGCAAGCATATCAGCTACCAGCTCCTTACTTCCAGTAAGTGAATATCTCCATCAATTTCCAGCGTGTCAATATCGCTAAGCTCTTTAAACCTGTGTTTGTACTCCAGGCTGTGTACACCATTTACCGCAACCTTGAATTCTCTAGCGTCACAATAAATTATCATCTGGAAAGAAAGTACACACAACATTAGTGGCTCCTCTTGGTTTAACATTTTTTGTTTTTTGCACATTAACAGAATATCAAAAAGTAAACCCACTGGGTTTGCTTTATACACAGAGGCGTTCTCCCAGCTTGCTGCTGTTAACTTCTAAGACTGTTAACTTCTAAGACTCTAACGTTTATCTGGTAGTAGCACCTTCTGCCTTGTCCCACTCAGGGAAGTGACTCTGAGTATGCTTGGAGCCTCACACTGTCCCCAGGGCCTGAGGCCTCCGTGCCCTCCGCACGTTACCTACGCTGTGCCCTTTCCTGCCCGTCGCTCCCAGCAAAGTTGCGCCCACGTTTGGGAACTGTAATGACGTCAAAAACTGCTGCCAGACTGACACAGAGGAGCGGATTCCAGCTTACAGGTTGAAAACCAAGGGACTTTTCTGCCTTAAACTCTAGGGTCTTAGACAAATCACACAATCAAAAACGTCCGAAGTTTAGGGCACTCTCTAGGACTGCACAGCTGCGTGGTGAGCCTGAATTCCGTCCCAGCTCAGCACATCTTGGTCTCCGTCTGTTTCCCAAGAGCTCAGGATTCTCTGAATCCACAGAGGAATGAGCATTCTGGCAAAGATTCAATTCAGATTCAGGACTGGTGTGAGCCTTTCAGAGTTGTCTTTGCCTAAAACTCAAAACAGCGAAAACCAAAAGAAACTACAATCCTTTTAAAATCACTTTTACACCTAAAACTCCTACTTCTGGTAACACATTCCCAGTGCCAGTCAGCCCCAATTCTGCCAGTTGTTCCCCGCTCACGCTCAAAGGACCAGTTGGTGAACCTGCACTGTGTTCTCCCTTCTGTCCCTTCCCTCTGTCAGGGCTTCAGAAGAGCAGAAAGGAGCAGCACAGCCCTGCTGCTAACCCGGCTCCATCCCCAGGGACCAGGCTGAGGCAAAATCCAAATCTGCCAAGAAGCAAAGACTGTATTTATCCTTTTGCTCTGACTAGTGAAAGTGGCTGTGAGGGGGAAATTCCATGGATAAAAGAGGTGACAGAATCAAAGGCTTTAGAGCCATGTAGAGAACTGGGGAAAATATCCATAACCTGGGATTCTGTCATCCTCACAACAGTGGTGGGAATCCCAGTTTCAACCAGGTGGAAGGGACCCTTGGTGAGGTACCTTTAACGAAATCTCAAGAGAACACAAAATACAGCCTCATGCCCAGAAGGGGCAATAGAGGGGCACAGTGGGAAGAGTCCATCGGTCCCCCGCATCGGTCCCCTGCATCGTACCAGAGCAAGCGCGGCACCACTGCTTTACAGATGGAAGGGAACCGTCTGTGGCCCGGGGAACATACTACCGCCGAAAAAGTACAAAACGTGCGAAAGGCCCACGATCTATAAGAAAACATGGAACAACAAAATCCCTCACAACCATCTGATGTTCTAGAATAGCTCATAACAACCTGATTTGATGATAAAAGAAATTACAAAACTGAAAGATATTTTTTAAAAGACTGTGGCAGCTGAATAAATGAATCTGAAACAAAAAGGAACAGAAGATACTGGTTAAAATCAAGCTAATGGCATAATGGAACAGTCCCAGAATCTCAATGAAAGCATATTAAAAAGGCAGGAGTTTGAAGCAGTTAGAGAAAAACCAATCACTACAGAAAATTAAAAACAGTGGTCCAACATGAGGGTAATTACTGTTCCTGAGGTAGAAAACTAACAAAAGGAAAAAAGGATTATTTAAAAGAATTCTTGTCCTTTTCCATCTTAATACAGAACCAAACTTGGGGTCGGTTCAAAGAACAAGTTATGTCACTGGTTTCCTGTCACCAGCCCCAAGGATCCACTTCCTTCTGGAGCAGTCACCTCTGTCTCCTGCCAGTGAGCCCCCAGTCACCTTTTATACCTGGACTCCTGCCAAGCCAAGAAACCCCTGTGCTGCACTCCCCACCTCAAATCATCCCCTCAATCTGGAAAACCCACCTTTAAGTTCACCCTCCTACATCCTTCTGAATTCCAAACCAATCTCCACACCTTCCAGGGCACCTCCTACGATTAGGGCACATTTGTTACTCCACATACCGGGAACTTAAGAATACATATGAATGTCCGATTGCCATCTTCTATTCGGCCTGACGTTCCTGCCTTCAACAGCTCGTTTTGATGAGTCCTTAAAGAACTCAACTTAATGGTCCAGAGCATGTGACAGTCTGGAGAACGTAGAAGCGTGACTTAAATCAGTGACCCTGAATGACCACGTAAGGCAGTGCTTCACCTAAGCTGGTGAGTGAACCTAGCCAACCACCCAGCATCCATGTCAAGACTACTGTGTGCTCAGCATCCAGAAACACATTTTGGGAAAGGTTGTGTGACCATACTATTCACACGTTTGGGGGACTCAGGACCATATGTCTTAGTAAGGGTCTAAACATCTCTCCCCTTGAATAATATACAAACAGGACTAACCTGGAAGAAAGGACTGCCACTTAAAGCTATATATAACCAAGACGGCAGGTGACAGAGCAAACAACTTTATGGTTCCTGTGTCCTTATCTTCACTTAGGTAATATCCTAAACCTGTTTCTCTGTCCTGAGGCAAGGTTCCGGTTAAAATGCCTATGAACTAATATGGGGCCACGCAGTAATAATTCCAAGCCAACCAGGTAGTATTCTACTGGCTGTGCCGCTTACACCGACCAAAGTACTGTCTTTTGAACGCCCCTTTCATAATGCAGACCCTCTCCAAATAAAAGCCACGTGCAATTTCCACGTATTAAGCTAGGACTTGATTTAAAAAGACCATTTATCCTACCTCTCCTCCCAGGATTCTTTGTCGTGTCCCATAAGAAAATCTTACCTCAAAGTACATCCCAGGACTAAATGGGAAACAGGTAATATTTCTCTCTTCTTCTCCCCAGGACTCATGAAGAAAAGAATTTCTTACAAATGCTTTAATATTCAGGCGTGGGTTCAAATGAAGAGCAATATCCTTTGATTTTCCTGATACTAGGTTAACATTAAAGCTTTTGAGAGAATAAAAAAACAATCAAGTTGAAGACAGCAGTGCGGTTTCTGCAATTTTAACAATCAGAACTGAGCTCTCATCACAACTACACAAAACACGTGCACACAGATACAGGAATGCAGATGGTGAAATTTTAAATTCGGAGTTAGCATTCCACTGATGTAAATATGCTCTTTGCAAAATAAAAATCTAAAAAACTTGAACATCAGAGTTGAGACCTCGGATCTGGGTGGGAAGCAACCGAAGGGTTAGAGCAAGTAACCTAAATGCTTGCTTCAGGCTGCAGGAGGATACGGTCCTCTCAAGTACTATTCTCTTTTAATATTTACAACTGTTCTTGAAAGTGATTGCTTTCTAGGAAATAGCTAATTTCAAGCTTTCAGAAGTCTGAACGTCTCTAGAAAAGTTTCTTAAGCAGAAATTCTACAAGTCACATGACATGAGGGGCCCTAACGAGAGTCACCTGACCTGCCGGCTGCCCTGGAGTTCCACAAGGCACAGGTGGGCTTCCCGGACAAAAACGCCACCCTCTCGTCTGGCCACAAAAAGCCTAGCTCAAAACATTGGCCTTTAGTCCTGATTCTGCCACCAGCTAGTTGTTAGCAGTCTTGTTGGCAGCCTGACCTCCTGTGGCTTTGACAGTCTCACCTTCTCAGTGAGGATCAGGACCCTACTCCTCTCCCCGGTCACAAGACTGGTCGGACGTGCGGGCAAAGTACTCGCACTAGTCCTGGTCACAGTGATACTGACCCTTTGGCAGTTTTATTCACTTCTCCTTTAATGAAGACGGTTCGTCCAGGGCCCATGGAGGAGTTCAACCTCGCAGTGAATGGCAGAGTCTGAGGAGAAACCACAGTCAGCACTAGGAAGCCTGCAGAAAGTGACCTCATGGGAAAACTGTCCAAAGACACGGGGCAATGTTTAAAGGCCTTGCCCCTGTGAGCCCCAGCGGTCAGCACCGCCTGGCTCACAGCGAACACTCAAGGAGAGCGTTTCAGAGGAGGACATGAATGCACGTGAAGTGGGGCCTGAGTGAAACACACTCCGAGAAACTCGCCTACACTTGGGGTCTGCAGCCGTCCTCCACATTCTCCCTGTGGGGAAGCGGCCCCGGGGGGAGCATTACAGAAAGAGCTTCGATGCCCAGCTGACTCTCCGGGGTCAGCACAGAAAGGCAGAGTGGCTGCTTTGGGCTTCTACTGAGGGTAGAAGTTACACATTACCAGCTAATTAAAACTTAATTGGTTATACAGAATTAAGAAAATTTTTGGCTCTTCAAACCTTTGACAAACAGCTGGTAGGTAGTATTTTGGCGCAAGTCAAAGTGTGATTGGCAGTCGAACCTTTGCTCTTGGTGTAGACAGTTCTGGGTACGGTTTTAGAAATGTCTCCTCTATTACTAGGCTGTTGGGGAAAGAGTTCTGCAGTAAGGTAGGGAAGGAATGAAGCTATCTTCTAAGGTTTAAACTATTCATGTCCTGGGTGATTTTATAAAACATTCCGTGTTATAACCTAGGCAAAAATACTTACAAAATGTGGTGTGTCAGACTTCAGTACCTATTGGAAGAGAAAGTCAAAGTGAAGACATTTGAAAGGGGAAAATTACATTTTATAACATGAGCAGTCAGATCTTACTGGTTATAACGGCCAGAGCCTGCGCTTCCTGACGGGGTGGTGCGGACTTGTGATGGGCTACTCAGGCTGGGGATACAGTCTCATGGTCCTGGTCACCTGAAGCTGGTATCCTCCAGCATAAGTTAATTTTTCGTAGGACTACACGTGAACTTAAGACATGTTTTACTTGTTCTTTCCAAGGTGCTCCCAAAATGCTGAGATACTATATTCCATCTATTAGGTCACATGTTCCGAGACCATTAAGGCATCACTTTCTCCATTAATAACAGAGACTCAGTGTTTAGACTGTACTTCTTCCTACTGGGGAGAAGATGTATGTGGAAGTTCATGTGCCAAGGCACCGTGTTCAGTATTTACAAATACCGTGTGCCAGTTCTCTTCAACAGTTAAAGAGAGGGGTTTGTTTTTTTGTTTTTTTTTTTACATAGGAATGGTGGGTAGTGGGGAGATACACTGAGAGCTCAAGCATCTGCAAAAAGTACAGTGACTGGGACAGAAGGAAATGCCTTGCCTTAATTTTCAAATGCTTACTTCCAGCCTATTAATAATTAAAATATTTTTTCACATTAAAAACATTATTTTAAAAAACTCAGCTTGCCTGCCACTTGATTTACATGGAAACTAAAAGAACATTTTTAAACTGGTAGTTCATAAAAAGATTTAATATTTACATTTTCTTTACTTATCTCTGTCAGTTCCAGAATAGATGCTTCGGTACTTCTGAAATCCTGAAGATAAGATTAATTTTTAACATCCATCAGAATTCTAAATACAATCTCCCTGACACATCAAAAAGAAAGAATTATAAATAATACTAAACATGAAAACATGCTTGAAAATTATAATCCAAAAATGTACTTCACATTAGGGTCCTTTCCCCTATCAGACTGGCAAGCGTTACAGAGACTAAGAACGAGCATCGAGAAGAATGTGAGCAAGCGGGCATGGCTGCCGAGACTTCACCGCTGGAAGTCTTTTTGGAGAGTGAGCTCACCAGCCCTCCAACTAGTATCAGTTGTAACTTAAAATGCACATACCCTTTGACTCAAGACTTTCTACTTCAAGAATTGATTTTCGAGAAATCCTCCCCTGTACTGCTGTGTCAAAGGAATTAGCCCCTGTTAAAAAGGGTTTTTGTTTTGTTTTGTAGTAACTGTTTTGGGTTTTGTTTTTGTTGTCGTTGTTAAAACCATTCTAGATTTGAGCTCCTATAGACATTAAAGCCCTGGCCAATACACAGCACACTACCAGTCTGAAAGATTTATTTCCAAGAAATTAATACACTAATGATGGAAACATTTACAGTATTTTTATCTTAACAGAAGACGTTAAAGGTATTTCCTACCGTTTCATCAGAAGACATCACCGAACACCCCAGGCCATGGAAGGGTACTCACCGAGCTGAAGCTATAACCAACTGAGTGGACATTCACTTTGCCATAAATGCCCAGAGTGTCTATTTTCCCTGGGCTAATCCTGTGGGCGTAGAGCAGTGTGTGTTTCCCATTTACAGCCACCTAAATGGAAACAGAGGACAGCCCAGCACCCCCAGAAAAAACAAAACAACAATTAATACATTTACTAATGTATCCAAATTTAAACCAAATTTAAATAGTGGTTACTTGGGTTTAATTTCGTATCTTTGCCCACAGGTCTGCACATTACATGTCTGACCAAACTGAAAGCATCCATAATACTAGCAGTGTTTCTTGACTTCCTTTGAGAAACCACCATGGATGCCCCGCCCCGCTGACATTATGCGTTCATGAGTATGTGTGCATACGCATGTGTGTCCCTGTGCATATACATGAGTCCCCCGATGCCCTAGGCCTGTGAACACCCCGGTTGGCGATCTGCCCTGCAAGCTTGCCACCCCACCCGCTGTCCTTGAGGACCACACTCTAAGGAAGACCACCCTGCACATGGCAGGTGTTCAGTAAATATCTGTTGAATCTGCTGAATGAAGGGACATGGGCAAGCTACCCAGTTCAGCTGCAATTCCTAGCGTAAGCAGGAAAAGGCTCTCCCTCAAAGAATGGGCTGATGTTGTGAGGAGACCATAAAGTCACTCCTGAGAGTCAGGCAGCACACGGCCTGCCGGCAGGAGTCCACTCCACATGGCTCCACGTCCCTCCCTCCCGGGTAGGGGATGTCGGGAAAACACGGGCGATGCAAACCGGTCTCCGACCTCAAGGAGCTTAAAATCCCACTGGCGGGTAAAATCAACAGGAAAAGGCACCACAGTACAGGACCGAGCATTTTAAAGAATGCTCCAGATACAGGTGCTCAGAGCGCCAGGGAGGGGAGGGACGAACGGAGTTCGGGAGATTCAGGGCAAGTGTGTGGGTGGGAGCATATCCCAGAGGACAGAAAGGACCCGCACCAGAGACGGGAAATCTTCACTCTAAGCCGAGCGCATCTCTAGTCTGGGAGGCTGGGGGCTCCACGGGGCTCGAGGGCAAGTGCGCCCCAAGCCTCTGGGGCCACCTGCTAACCTCACATGTATGCACTAGTACGTGCAGGGTATTTACCGCTTGAAGTCAGCAGTGGGATTTACTACACGTAGGACTTCTAGGACCTCCTCTGCATCTAAAATCTCATGATCCTAAAGAACTTGTGGCAGGACTTAACTTTGATTCTGTATCCATCTGTTAGTTCCGGATGCCCTCACACTTTGGGTCACGGTGACCACAGTTGACTATCACATATTTATACGATGCTGTGCCAATTCAGATCTAAGCTCAGCCACGCTAGAAACAGGATCTAATAAAAAGGTTTGGCTGCCCTGGACCCATATTCTGGATGAAACAGCAGGGCAGACAGAGGTGTGCCCCACCTCCCATTTAGGTACCCCCCCCCCCAAACCGCTACTTTTGAGCAAAACGATAAAGCCACTCTCTTTCTCTGAACTGAAACAATAGAGGGGTGCAGAGCTGCCCCGGGCGCTTATGGCCATTCATGAGGATTCCACCTACATTCTCCAAAACCTACCTGGAATTTGTCTTTCAACACCATCATCACAATTTCAAAAGATTTTTCTTTTTTGAAAGGCACGTCGTAGGTGATCTCTTCCCATCCCCATTTTTCATTTTTCAGAGTATTGCACACGATGCAGTTGGACCACTTGAAACGCGGGTTGAAATGAAAGGCCACGTCAGCGCGCGGCTTCACGCTGCTCCCGCACTGCAGATCCACCTGGAACCTGCGAGAGCAAGGATCGAGGGGCTGCGTGGGCCCTTGGAAGGAGGCTGCAGGGGAAGGCCCAGCAAGCACGAAACTCCAGCCTCAGTGACCCATGACTGATCCTCTGTTCCTTCACCCACGTGGCCTGAATACCTTCTTACAGAATCTTCCTTTCCTTCCTCAGTGCAGAGCCCTGAGCTGTGGCTGGGGCCCCATCTGTGCAGAGTAAGAGCCAGAATTTTCCAGCTTCCCTGGCAGGCAGGCATCCTGGAGAGACTGCCGAGGTGGAAGTGTTCAGGGAAGGCTCCTGAATGGCCCGAAGTCAGCCAGCATCTGCCTTCTTTTGTCCACCCCTCTCCCCCGCCCACTCCTCCCAAACCCCACAGGCACCCACCCAGACACCCAAAACGTGGTGTGAGGGCTGGATTTCTAGCTGCCACGAGCCCTGAAGAAGAGGACCTCACCCTAGGGACAGCAGAACTGTGAGCCGGGAGAGGCCTGCTTCTCTAGGTTCTAATGGAGTTGCCTGGAAACGTGTGGGATGTCTTCTTCAGACTTGACTTCCACCGCTGTTATCCGGGCATCAGCCACACACAGCTGGCCCAGCTCGAACTCAGACAGCCTCGTCCACAGTTTGTACCCAAAGCAAGTGTCAGACAACTTGCCCAGAATGGATCTTAAGCCATGCTGTGGGAACGTTATGCTGTAACTAGACCTTGTCCCTGAGGTCTGACCACAATTCCCATCATGAACCAGATCTCTAATCCTTTATATTCAAACCAGACTCACTGTAATCAAACACCGAAGTGACCTTTATTTCGGTCATTTACTCCCGTCTCCTTGGTACCTGCGCCGGGGCTGCTGATGAAAGCAAAACCAGGCCTCAAAGTACCAAAACGGTCTCCCCACAAAAAGACAGTTCAGTCGTGTTCCTGTTTCATCTAACATGGAAGTGCAGGGGCAGTGCGGGAGCAGCGTGAAGCTGCGCGCTTTACCTGTCCGAATCACAGGGAACATGCCCACGAATTACAATCAACGTTCCAGGCTCCAACTCCCCAGGAATGGTCCCAACATAGGGGGTTACCTAGGAAAAAATAATTTTAACAAGTGGATGTTTACATAAAACAGAAAGACTACATTTTGAAAGACTGCATGTAAATCTGCTCGGAATCTAGCATTTTTCCAAGTCACTATTCAAACAGGATAGTGACAGTGTCTGAAACCTCTTTGAGTTCTTTAGAGAGAGAGACACAGCTGAAAGTTCATAGACTTTTTTATTCGGCTGGGGATTTTGTGAAATAAAACGTCTACTTAATAGGATAATTCTGAGAATAGAAAAAAAAACTTGCTGGAAGTCCTGTCCCCCTCCCCCTCCCTTTCCCCTAAAGTTCCACTATGATCCCAACACGGGACCGAGACCATGCAAGGCCCCAAGCCTGTGTTGACGGAGGCAGTGACACACGCTCACTGCCTGTGGAGGGGGCTCCGGACATAGCCCCTCCTCCACACCTGGGATCCGAGTGTCTCATCTTCCCTGCCAGGCTTCCAGACCACAGCCCAGGCTTCCAGACCCTTGCCGGGAATCAGAACCGCATGATCTCAGGGGTGATTCTGGGTACCTGTGGTCTCTCGAGAGACAGCACCCACCAGGCCTGGCCTGGTCCAGTCTGCAGGGTTAGGTTCCAACACAGTATCCAGGTCTCAGTCTGCCCCCCCTCATCACCTGGAACCCAGCCTTTCTGTCCGGGGCTGGACACACTATCAGATCTTGTCACTTTCCCAGAGGTGACTCCACCGTCCTCCCCACCCCCTGGCTGCACCTCCTGCATCACAACCATTGCCCCTTCCACTCGGGGGGCATCTGAGCAAGCCAGGCGGGCCAGATGCCATCATGCTTTACACCAAGCTCACCCCAGTTAGGACATAAATGCTAAAATCTATCCAAGGTAGCTCTGATTGTCAAGAAATAAGACCTAAAATGAGAGAGCATATGAAAGTAGTTGTAGATTGGCCATTCCTAAGCTGAAAATCTTAGCACAAGCACCATTTCCTCCATGGAGCCTTTTTCAGACCCCGTGGGCTAAGGGACACCGCCCCTCTCCGAGGACCCCTCACAGCACGAGACACGGCCTAGATTGTAAACTGCACAGGGCAGGCCTAGGTCGGCACCTTTACACGCCCACAGCAAGGTCAGGAGCCGGTCAGTGGTTGCACGGTGAAGGAGTAAGTTCTCACCAGCCCAGAAACTGGGTTCTAGCAAACCGCACATACCCAGACCAGCGGCAGCTGAGTAGCGGCTCAACAACACGTCTTGCTGCCTTAACCAGTGAGCCAAGCCATGACCGAGAACAGCAGAAAAGGACGGAAGCCCGCTGTTACCTGGTGTCACCTCGTGTCACCTGGTGTCAGGATAGCTGCTGAGAGCAAGGTGGGTGGGAGGAGCAGAGCCCATCCCACCAGAAAACACCACAGCACACGTCAGAGTGGCGACAGCCCCATGCCAAAGCAGCTGGGTGTTGGGTGGAGAGGATACGGAAGGAATTACACGTCCACACTGATCTTCTGGGCCACAGCCGATTCCAGGAACAGCCAGCAGGACCCTCCGCAGGGGAAATCTCTTAATCAACTGAATAGTCTTTGTAACTTCAAATTTTATATACATTCCAATTATATTTATGCGGAATATTTCATGATGCAAAAATGTTAGGGATAAAAATATTAGTGAGAAAAGAGCCTGCAGAACTACACACAGTATGATCTTACCAAAGTTAATGATAAACATTAAAAAAAGAAAACACTGTAATGAAATAAACCAAAAATGTTAATAATAGTTTTCTTGAGGAATGGGATCTTAATCTTCTTCATGTATTTTTATATTTTCCAGCTCTCTACAATAAGCATTTATATTTTTACAACCACAAGTTTTTATTATATATTTAACTTTAGGGTTGGAAAGAGCTTTCTGAGACCCAATAATCTACCCATCACTGCCAATATGTTCTTCACAATGGTTAATAAGTCGTTCCAGTCTGAGAAACAACAGTGCTGAACACTTTTGCCATTTGCTCTTTTAGTTGTCTGGATTAACACTTCCTACTTAGGAAAGTTCCCTCCATGGTATCAGTCATACTCAAGTGATTTGGATCATGTGAGTGACACGAAATGCCCTGTAGCTTTTTTTTTTTAAAAGATTTTATTTATTTATTTGACAGAGAGAGACATAGCGAGAGCAGGAACACAAGCAGGGGGAGTGGGAGAGGGAGAAGCAGGCTTCCCACCGAGCAGGGAGCCCGATGCGGGGCTCAATCCCAGGACCCTGGGATCATGACCTGAGCCACCCAGGCGCCCCCTGCAGCCCACTCCTTGAACTCATGACTATTTGCTCCCGTGAAAAGGGAGGACGCCATTTTGTAGGTGAATGTCAAGCTTTGATGTTTCACGAATAATTTATGTAAAAAAAATTAAAGCACAGTTCTGATCACACTGGGGACAACACTATAAGCTTAAGCCATACTTGGGTTTAGCGTTACCTGCCAGAACATCCTAGCTGACTCACAGTGCTCTGCCTCCTTTATTTAGGATTACTTCTGCAATGTCCCCTACTCACAAAGGTCTCTCCTCAGCGGACTCTGCAGCTAAAAGTATGCGAGTCCTGTCCGGGAGGAGCCTGTAATGCAGCCGGGAAGAAGTCAGATCCCCGTGGAAATGGGATACTCGGGCTGTTCAGAATCACAATCTTCTTCCATATCTGGAAGATCCTCACTCAGCCTCATCTTGACCGCAGGGAAGGGCAAGGGCATAGGACGAAACTCGGCCACTTGGGCCCCCCAGACCTTCCAGACGGGAAGTGAGAACCAGCGACAAGAAGCCGGGATCCCTGAGTGGTGGCTCTGCCGGCAGGCAGCAGCTGTCCCCGGGGTCGGAGGCAGGGCTGGCCCGGGTGGGGTTGCCGGTGCACAGGGACCCTTTTGGTGGGAAGAGTTGTACAGCACGACTCTGGGTGTCGTCTGTGATTCTCTAGTTGCCAACTGTGGTTCTTCAGTCCTGCTAGAGATTCTGAGAACTACTGAGTATCACTGAATAAATCCCTTTTCTGCTTAGACTGGCCTCTGGGCTTCCAACGACAGACCATAAGTTCAACATCTTCAAATACAGGGCACCAGATCGGTGCTTCAGAAAAATGTATAGAATTCCAAGCTGCCCAAAGAACGTTGATAAGGAGCGTGGTGTGAGCCGGGTGGTTGGGAGGGGCAAGCCCGTTCTGGGAGAGATGTCCGTCTACAAAAGCAGAGAGGCAGGAAAAGCCGAAACAGATCTGGTAGACAGTGAGCAGGATGGGGGCAGTTCAAGACGGCGGGGGAGAGTGTACAATGAGATCATGAAAGCGGGGCTTGGGGGCCACGGTCGAGCGGGGTACAGAACGCTGGAGCGCAGCGGATTCGCTGGGAGCCGGAGACAAGGACACAAGCCAGGCGATGGTGGTAGGCCCTGGGGGACGCGGGGAGGAAGACAGACACAAGACCACTTCAAAGGAAACGATCTACAGGGGCCACCGTCTAAAATGGTAAAACCGGGGAGGAAACGGATTTCAGGAGGAAGAGGAGTTTAGTTTTGAACACGTCTTGTGTGACGGGTTGGGAGAACATACACCGAAAGGAGTGGGGGATCCAGGGCCACACGGTGAGTGAGTGCTCCCAGTCAGAGCAGAGAGGATTATTAAAGGGATCGAGGCAGATAAGCTGAGAGAAAGGACAAGGCAGGGGCAAAGGTTTGGAAAATGGTTTGGAAAATGCAGGAGTACGCAGGAGTTCACAAAGCAGATGGGACTGCTAGCCCTGCAAGTTCCCCTGACGAGGCTGGCCCTTGGCTGGGGTCTAGGAACTTGGATCTGGGGAGAGCACCCACCACCCAGACGGCCAGGGGTGGTCTCCTGTACCTAAAGTGTGCAAGCCATGTAGCATATGCTAAAGCCCGCCTTCCTCTCGGGAGTCCGGCACGGCGGTACTGTTAGCGCAGTCCACGTGCCCAGCTCCCGAGCGAATCCCCAGGCAGGGACTCTTGGGAGCTTCCCTGGGGGGCCGCATTTCGCACGCACTGTCCCAGCTTGCCGCTGGGGGATTTCAGTACATCCTGGGGGAGTCCACCGGGGGACAACCCGCGGAACCTGGCACCTGGATTCCCCTGAACTTTGCCCCGGGTGCCTTTCCCTTAGTGACGTTGCTCTGTATCGTTTCACTGTAATAAACCACAGCCGTGAGGAGGACTATGTGCCAGTGAATCATCACACCTGGGTGTGTGTGTTGGGGACCTCGATTCGGGGGGATGAGGAGAGAAGGATCGGTCAGCTGGACACCTCCAGGAGGTCAGTCTCCATATGGCAAGACTGTCAAAATCCTTAACATGGAAAAATAAGGAAGATTTAAAAAAAGATAATGAAGTGGGTATCATGCTCTTTGACCCAGTGATTCCACTTTTATAGACTGACCCTATAAAATTCGGGCACACATGCATAAGGATGCGCATACCAGGCTGTACCCCACGGCGCTGGGTCCCATCACAAAAGGAAACAGTCCTTTCATGGGAACTGGCTGAATAAGTGACGGTATCTCCATCCGAGGGACCAGTCACGCGGCCCTGACAATAAGCGAGGAAATCCCAAGTGTGCTGAGAGCTCCAAAACGCGTTCGGTGGGGAGAGCAGCACCCTGGGCAGTGTCTATGCAGGCACCCTTGGAGATACCGTGGGGTGGGCTTCCGGGCCGCTTCCATAAAGTGAAGACAGCAAAAAAAGCTGTTCAGATACACTCCGTGGTTTCCCAGAGCATAAAGATGTTTACATGATACGGAAGTCTATTAAGTGCGCAATGGCATTATACCTAAAAGAAAAAAAGGTACTTTCCTTAATTTAAAAATATTGCTACAAAATGCCAACCAGCGTCTGAGCTTTCAGCAGGTTGTAATCCCCGATCACTGTAACTGATATAATAATGAAAACGTGTGAAATGTTCCAAGGATTTCCAAATTGTGACACAGACGTGAAGAGAGCAAATGCTGTTGGGAAAATGGTGCTGACGGACTTGCTTGTCGAGGGAAGCACCATAAAACGAGGTCTGTAGTGTGGTACACACGTGTGAAGAAACAGGACCAATAACAGTGGTACACACAACACACACACACTCTTGGCTATTCACATGTATTCTTGGGAAGGGCTTACAGAAAACTGGTAAATAGGGTTGCCTTCAGGGAGGGGAACCGAGCACCAGGGCAGAAGGAAAATTTATGGGTTCATGTAACCCTTAAATACGGTTTTAATTTTTAAAAATGATTTACACATACTCTCTTTAGATTTTAAAAGTAATAATAAAAAAGGAAAAGCCACTGGGTTTGACATAAGTGAAATTAAGTTTGGAACACAGATTATCTTCCAACGATTTGGGGCTTGGCGGCGTGGGAGGAGGCAAAGTTAAACCGCAGAAAGACACAGAAAGGAATGGAAGCCCGCAAAAGGGAAGCTGATTCGGGGAGGAAGACGTAACTGTAGATACGAACTCCTGAGTCTTGAAGCAAGGGCATCTGAGAGCCTCAGATAAAAGGCCAGAACTGCTCACATGCTGTGTACATACTCAAAAGGTCGAGCGGTGATCAGTAAAGACACAAAATGAAGAGAAAGACACGACTAGTAAAGACAAAAAGGAAATTAAGAAAGAGTAAAAAAAAAAACAAAAACCAGAGGGCAGAGCTGTGGTGAGCGAACCAAGACAGCAGAACGGACGCGTTCTCAGGACGGCGGCGAGCGAGGCGAGAGAGAACAGGAAGACACGAGGCCGGACGGGACCTCGGAGGTTAAGAAAGATTTTACTGTCTTGTGCTTTAAGATTAAGTGGTAAGGCGGAAAGGGGGGTCCTCAGAATACTAAGGAGAAAGGGATGAAGGTGGAAGTGAGGTTCCCAAGGAGACTGGAGGATGTTTTGGCGCCAGGTGGAATGAATGTTAACAACCAATTTGATTCATTGCTAGGTAACTGCTTAACCAGCTAACACTCAGTCACATGTTAAGAACTGTATAAACAACAGTCAGTGAAATAAATCAGGTATGAAAAAGCACACAGGACAGTTACAGAGTGTACTTTATTTTTTCCAAAAAGACTTAATATGGATAGAATTTGCTGCCAGTGTGGATGGAAACTTTTGAAACATTAAGGAATAAAAATTAAAAGGCGGTAGTTCTGTGTCTTCATAATGCTTCATAAAGCTTACAGTAAAAAGCCAGTAAACACATGCGTGTCCACACTGCTTAAGCTCTTCTCCGTTTGCAGCTAGCTGCCCTTTCAGTGTTCAAAACACAATGGGGAAAAAAACAGAGGCTGCAAATAACTTAGATATTTTAAGTCAATCGATTAGGATATTGTATAAACTGGACTTAAAAAGAACTATTTTCTTGCATTACAGTTATTTTGTTAGTGATCAGTTCAAAAAACTGAAGAAGAGCTTAGCAGTGTGAGCATTTGGTGCTGTATTTATTTAAGAAGTTAAGTTTAAAGATGGAGCACAATGTCATTTTTTTAAAAGATTTATTTATTTTAGAGAGAGAGAGATTGAGAGACAGAAGGGGGGCAGAGGGAAAGAGAGAATCCCAGGCACACTCCCCGCTGAGCACGGAGCCCGACTCAGGCCTCGATCTCATGACCCTGAGATCACAACCTGAGCCAAAATCAAGGGTAGGACACTTAACCGACTGAGCCACCCAGGCACCCCAGCAAAATGTCATTTTTGCTGTGCGGTTCAATCTTTCTACCTCTACCCTTTTCTGCTTGTGAAAACGGACAATAAGACTGAAAAACTGAAAAGAAAAAAAAGAAGGCTATTTGCCAGAAATATTTACTTTGGAAGAAGATGTCACCATAAATTATCCTCAGAACCGCAGTGAGGCCACGTGGGGGCCCCGGCCTCATTCCTGCCCTACAGCACCGTCTCCTGGCCCTTCGGCAGGAAATGAACATCAGTGCACTCTTGTTTCGACCCTGTAGCTGAATGTGCTAATCCCAGAAATTACAGGAATCATCAGCATGCTTGTATCAAGATGCACAGCAATTTTAATCTAAAAAAATCACTTTCTAAATCACATTCAGGTAAGGCACCTTTGTGCACGAAGGGCAGAACTGAGGAGGGTCACCTGACCATCCCTTCCGCCTTCTGGCAGGAGCCGGGGCTATACTTCAGACACCCTCATGGAGAGCCTTTTTTTTTTTTTTTTAATCTTTGCAGAAAGTCCATCTACAACCTTGAGATGTTGTTGCTGTTGTTTTTTAAGTAGGCTCTACACCCAGCATGGAATCCAATGTGGGGCTTCAACTCATGATCCTGAGATCAAGACCTGAGCTGAGATCAAGAATCGGACACTTAACCGACTGAGCCACCTGGGCGTCCCCAACCTTGAGATCTTTTTAACTGTAAGATACAGAAAATCATTTTGAATGTCCCACTGACTTCAAACTCAATCTTCCTTTTTAAAGGAAGCCTACTTTTGAAGCCTATTTCTTCTAAAATGGAATTTGCTGGGGCTCCTGGGTGGTTCAGTTGTTGAGCAACTGCCTTCAGCTCAGGTCATGATCCCAGGGGCCTGGGATTGAGCCCCGCATCGGGCTCCCTGCTCAGCGGGAAGCCTGCTTCTCCCTCTCCCACTTCCCCTGCTTGCGCTCCCTCTCTCGCTGTCTCTGTCAATTAAATAAATAAAATCTTTTAAAATAACTAACTAAATAAAATGGAATCTGCTTGATGTGGTGGTTGTCCCTCACTCTGCATAATGACATCAAAACCTGGATGAAGAAAAGTTACAACTAGAAAGTAAGTAACAAAAAAGGGACCACGAACACAAATGAAACTGGCTTAGGGCCCTACTTCAGGACTTGTACCCCCTCTCTCTTGCCCACGAGTCTCTTGGGGTGGGGGGTGAGCGGTTACAAAAAGAAAGCAGCAACTCTACCTCAGACCTAAATTCAGGATTCAGCTTCGGATATGTGGAAACCAGACATTTCTGAAGATTCTTATCGCCACATCAAACTAAAACAAGTTCATTACTTCCCAGGACGTACAAAGTTCCAGCAATTGCAGTCACTGGGGCTTTTGGACCAAGAGACCCTAATTCTTCTCTTTTTCCATCTTGCCCCTAGCTTTTGACCTTTTCCCCACTCAAGTATGAAGCAGTACTTGAAAGAGGGAAAAGCTGAGGGGAAAGCAGACATTTACTTCTCATGAACAGGGTCTAATCAAAAAAGCAAATTAAAAAATTTTAGAGCAACAAATCCATTTTCCTTTGAAAATTATGTCTTGTGATTATCTTCCCAGAACCGCCAAAGTTGGCTTCCCTCCACCGTACCCCCATGTTCTCCACTCAGAACTCATTCTCACCACCCTGTATTGTCACTGTGACTTCGTCCTCCGCTAGGCTGAGCTCCAAGGGCTGTATTATTTTTCCGTCAGCAACCACCACAGTCCCTATCACAGGATGGGTACTTCCCATACGTTTACTGAATTTAATCATCTCTCCTCCCCAGCAATGGATAATGACTATCCAATTGGATTTGCTTTAAATCCTGCCACAGATAAAAAGTGATTTTATAGAAGTCAGTTACCGGGTTATAGATGATATTCTGCAGGTTTGTTAAGGACAACATCACTCTTTTCCACGTTGTTGTTGATTGAGGCCTCTCTTCTATGTATGATGTAGATTTTAAGCAAGTTTCATTTAAGGGTTCCCAGATTGAAACTGATGCTCTTGCCCTGTGTAAAATTAAAACAGAGGGAAAGAAAAATTAGCATGCATCATTTTTCTTCATAACTGTTTTTAACTTAAATTACAAATTATTTTACTTATATTTACCAAATAATAGGATGCTATTACAAAGATCTGACCCCAATTATTTTTTTTTAATTTTATATTATGTTAATCACCATACAGTACATCATTAGTTTTTGATGTAGTGTTCCATGATTCATTGTTTCATATAACACCCAGTGCTCCACGCAGAACGTGCCCTCTTTAATACCCATCACCAGGCTAACCCATCCCCCCACCCCCCTCCCCT